GTGGTCCTTGACTCGGCCTCAGTGCGCCTGACCGGGTCCAAGTCCGGCTGTGGAGGAGGGGCCTGCGGGGCCTGCACTGTCATGGTGTCCCGCTACCAGCCGCGCACCAGAACCATCCTGTATCCTTCCACTGCAGCCTCACGACTCAGACAACAACAAGTTACATTTGAGTCTGTATTTTAATATGTTCCATTTTTCAGTGGACGTTCCTCTGCCTGTAATACCCGTGGTATTAGAAGTCATGCTTCTGAATTCATCTGAAACGCTCATAAGTTAGTCTGTTAGAGATAAGGTGGACAGAGTAGAAGGCAAAGAATTCATGATGCAAGGACTTCTAGACTGGAGACTTGTGTGAAGGAGGTTTGTAATGCAGTGTGGAAGCATCTCTACACACTACGACTGTACACGGTTAATATTGTCTTCATTTGTCTTGTCCAATAAGAAACAGAACATGGACTGATTACAAAGTACAAAGTCATGTTCATGTGACAGATCTTCCCCAGAAGGCAATCTGTCTGTATAAAAAACGTTTTCATTTGAGCATGTGACTGAAAAGCACAATTATCATGGATTATCATATTTATTTTATTGTGAAAAGTAGTTTACAGTAAGTGCATTGGTCACTATGTCGTCACAATAAATACGAATACATTAAAGAAATGAAGACATTCTTTACAATGCGCTCTCTCCTTGACAGTTGTCAGTCACTTCTCTGCCACAGCGTGTCTCGTGCCCATCGTGCAGCTCCATGGAGCAGCAGTCACCACCGTGGAGTGCATTGGCAGCACCAAGACACGACTCCACCCTGTGCAGGTCCACAGCTTTGGTTCAACTCAATTCTCCATTTTCTTCCCCTTAATCCATTTCTGGGTCGGGGGGGTAGCAGTCAGAGCTGCACCCAGTACGCTTAGCACCAGCCCCTCACTGATCCTCCTGCAGGTGGTGAGTCCACAAGGAGCTGAGATCTTTCAGTGGGAGCTTCAGGCAAAGTGTCTTGCCCAAGGACACAACTCAATACTCATCATGACAATTAAATGAGCCTGAGCTTTTAGACTTTTATTTCAACATTACAAACATTTTGCAATTGATAATTATTTTGATGATCAATAGTATTGTAGCGACACAGTCCGCTCCAGGGCAGAGTGACAGTGAGGCTCCCCATCTGCCATCCCACCCCCAGGAGTCATCTTTTGGTCAACATACCAGGATGATCACTGTCCAGACATGTGAACACATGTCCCGGATCATCACAGTCCTCAGACCCTCCTGCTTTGGCACAGACCTAAAGAGGGTTACCTCAGTATAAAAGCCTAAAAAAGCCTCTGACTAAAGTGAGTTTGATGCCACTGCACTAGAGCCACTGCTGAGAGTGTGTATAAGCACATATGCTGCTGACTAATATACAGGATGACATCTATAGTATAGATTCATAGTTTGTATGTAATATATTTAACACCTGTGTGTACTGCTTTAATGTCCTTTGTGCTACAGGAGAGAATAGCTAAAGCTAACGGTTCTCAGTGTGGCTTCTGCACTCCTGGGATGGTCATGTCCATGTACACTCTGCTGAGGAACAAGCCCCAGCCCAGTTTGGAGGACGTCAGGGAGGCTCTGTCTGGTCTGTGTCTCTGTTACTGTTGGAGAGTGTTTTGTACTGATGTCAACTCAATGTTCTCTGGTTTCCAGGTAATCTGTGCCGCTGCACCGGGTACAGACCCATTGTTGACGGCTACAGGACTTTCTGTCAGGTACAAGACATCATTCACAACTGACAATCATTTAGTCATTCATTCTAAGAACTGCTGTTACCAGGAGGCCAACTGTTGTCAGGGCAACGGAGTCTGTCGTCAGGGCAACGGAGACTGTTGTCAGGGCAACGGAGACTGTAGTCTGGACGACGGAGACTGTCGTCGGGACAACAGAGATTGTTGTCAGAGCAACAGAGACGGAGCTGAGCCTGTGAGCTGACACCAGCTGAAGGATCATTGGTCACGTGACATTTTACTCATAAAACATGTGTCTTTCATAGAACTTTCTTCAGGAAAAACCACAGCTGTTTGAAAAAGAAGACTTTCAGCCTCTGGACCCCACTCAGGAGTTCATCTTTCCCCCAGAACTCATCGTAAGAGACACTCTCTACAACAACCTGCCAGAAGAATATAAATATTGATATTATAGAGTCCCATAAAAATGTTTGTCTCTGAATGTGTGCTCAGCTGATGGGGGACAGGGACAGTGTCCCAAAGACACTGTCCTTCTGTGGGGAGAGGACGAGGCTGCTGTGCCCTGGTTCTCTGGAGGAGCTGCTGGAGCTCAAGGCCAAGCACCCTGAGGCCCCTCTGCTGATGGGGAACACACACCTGGGTCTGTGCTGTTTACTCTGGGACAGTGTTAATATGAGTCTGTGCTGTTTACTCTGGGACAGTGTTAATATGAGTCTGTGCTGTTTACTCTGGGACAGTGTTAATATGAGTCTGTGCTGTTTACTCTGGGACAGTGTTAATATGAGTCTGTGCTGTTTACTCTGGGACAGTGTTATTATGAGTCTGTGCTGTTTACTCTGGGACAGTGTTATTATGAGTCTGTGCTGTTTACTCTGGGACAGTGTTAATATGAGTCTGTGCTGTTTACTCTGGGACAGTGTTAATATGAGTCTGTGCTGTTTACTCTGGGACAGTGTTATTATGAGTCTGTGCTGTTTACTCTGGGACAGTGTTATTATGAGTCTGTGCTGTTTACTCTGGGACAGTGTTATTATGAGTCTGTGCTGTTTACTCTGGGACAGTGTTATTATGAGTCTGTGCTGTTTACTCTGGGACAGTGTTATTATGGGTCTGTGCTGTTTACTCTGGGACAGTGTTATTATGAGTCTGTGCTGTTTACTCTGGGACAGTGTTATTATGGGTCTGTGCTGTTTACTCTGGGACAGTGTTATTATGAGTCTGTGCTGTTTACTCTGGGACAGTGTTATTATGAGTCTGTGCTGTTTACTCTGGGACAGTGTTATTATGAGTCTGTGCTGTTTACTCTGGGACAGTGTTATTATGAGTCTGTGCTGTTTACTCTGGGACAGTGTTATTATGGGTCTGTGCTGTTTACTCTGGGACAGTGTTATTATGAGTCTGTGCTGTTTACTCTGGGACAGTGTTATTATGAGTCTGTGCTGTTTACTCTGGGACAGTGTTAATATGAGTCTGTGCTGTTTACTCTGGGACAGTGTTATTATGAGTCTGTGCTGTTTACTCTGGGACAGTGTTATTATGAGTCTGTGCTGTTTACTCTGGGACAGTGTTATTATGAGTTTGTGCTGTTTACTCTGGGACAGTGTTATTATGAGTCTGTGCTGTTTACTCTGGGACAGTGTTATTATGAGTCTGTGCTGTTTACTCTGGGACAGTGTTATTATGAGTCTGTGCTGTTTACTCTGGGACAGTGTTATTATGAGTCTGTGCTGTTTACTCTGGGACAGTGTTATTATGAGTCTGTGCTGTTTACTCTAGTCTCTGGGACAGTGTTATTATGAGTCTGTGCTGTTTACTCTGGGACAGTGTTATTATGGGTCTGTGCTGTTTACTCTGGGACAGTGTTATTATGAGTCTGTGCTGTTTACTCTGGGACAGTGTTATTATGAGTCTGTGCTGTTTACTCTGGGACAGTGTTATTATGAGTCTGTGCTGTTTACTCTGGGACAGTGTTATTATGAGTCTGTGCTGTTTACTCTGGGACAGTGTTATTATGAGTCTGTGCTGTTTACTCTGGGACAGTGTTATTATGAGTTTGTGCTGTTTACTCTGGGACAGTGTTATTATGAGTCTGTGCTGTTTACTCTGGGACAGTGTTATTATGAGTCTGTGCTGTTTACTCTGGGACAGTGTTATTATGAGTCTGTGCTGTTTACTCTGGGACAGTGTTATTATGAGTCTGTGCTGTTTACTCTGGGACAGTGTTATTATGAGTCTGTGCTGTTTACTCTAGTCTCTGGGACAGTGTTATTATGAGTCTGTGCTGTTTACTCTGGGACAGTGTTATTATGGGTCTGTGCTGTTTACTCTGGGACAGTGTTATTATGAGTCTGTGCTGTTTACTCTGGGACAGTGTTATTATGAGTCTGTGCTGTTTACTCTGGGACAGTGTTATTATGAGTCTGTGCTGTTTACTCTGGGACAGTGTTATTATGAGTCTGTGCTGTTTACTCTGGGACAGTGTTATTATGAGTCTGTGCTGTTTACTCTGGGACAGTGTTATTATGAGTCTGTGCTGTTTACTCTGGGACAGTGTTATTATGAGTCTGTGCTGTTTACTCTGGGACAGTGTTATTATGAGTCTGTGCTGTTTACTCTGGGGCAGTGTTATTATGAGTCTGTGCTGTTTACTCTGGGACAGTGTTATTATGAGTCTGTGCTGTTTACTCTGGGACAGTGTTATTATGAGTCTGTGCTGTTTACTCTGGGACAGTGTTCTCCGTCTCTCTTCAATAAAACTAATCACATTCTGTTTATTCAGGGCCCAGTATGAAGTTTAAAGGTGTCCTCCACACACTGATGATCTCTCCAATCAGAGTTCATGAGCTGTTTGAGGTCACACACACTTCAGAGGGTAGGTCCAGTCTGTCCTTTCACTGTTTATATGGACAACGAGAAAGGCACTCACAGAGCACAGACCTCTGCCAAGAGGTGTAGTTCTTAAAGCAAACTAGTTCCAGAGAGGGCAGGTGTGGCTGCAGACTGCTCCTGCTGGGGGGGAGTAAACCTGCAGCCTCACTGCTCCTTTGAGGACTGGGTTGACAGCCTTAAAGAAATCCTGGATCCAAGTATCACGATACTTTCTCCCGCGATTCGATTATCGATATGCATTTGCCAAGTATCGATGTCAATTAAAAA